GGGTGGGGAGAAGAAGTTGGGGCCCGCGCCAGTGTGTGTAATACACAACACACATATATATATATATATAGCTGCCAGGCAAAAACAACTTCTTTGTCAAGTATAAGAACCTCCAAGGAGATCGCAGGGTTCTCAACCACATTCTCCTCTGGCGCCTCAGCCAAACAAAGCCTTCCCAAAGCACCGCCGCAGGAGGCCGCAACGTACGAACACAGCCCCGGCGCTGCCAACTGTACACGTTTTCGAGAGATGTGGAGCGGCACGGAGCGCCAGTCCCCCACCGTGAAGGAGGATCCGCGCCTGGCGCAGTCTGGGAGTCTCGGAGAGTCTCGGAGGGACTTTGGATTACACAGACCATAAATGACATTGAGATCAATTTTATTTCATACTGAAAACGCATTTCCACCGTGGACGGATTCATTGATGGTACTTGACACTGGGTCGTTTGATGGAAAAACTCCAAATTCGCCATCAATTTCTGAGGTTCACATTTCAGTGGTACTGGGCATTGGGAAATCTTTTTTGACGGGTAATATTTTAGATCTACCCAGCATGAAACAACAGAAACATACTATGAAGGTCATGACTCAGTCATGACACAAAAAAAGGGCAGCTTAACTCCCATTGCTAGTTTAAACTCACTTATCATATCATTTAGTAACCCTTTCCTCCCTAGAAAACCCTGGGGGCCTTGTCCTTCTATTCCTTTTTGTCGAAGTGGTTCAGCAAGCATGCTTGCGACAGGGTTATGTGGCATGCCTTCAGATCCTTTCAAGTACAAATGCACCCCTTTTCTGCTCTTCTCTTCCTTCTCGTTCCTTTTCTTCTCGTCTCTACTAGGAACAAGAAACTAGTAGGTTGGAGGCCATCGCTGCTAGGGTGGAGGCCATTGCTACTAGTAGCAAGAAGCCACTAGTGTTTTATGTTTAATACGTTTTCTCCCATGGTTCCTTCCTGCCTCCGACTCTGACTGTAGAGTCTTGGACAGCTTAGCGTGGAGACGGTGGACTGTCGTCGAGACTCGTTGGGCCGGATCTCGGCATGCAGAACCTCCCGGAGCTGGGCGTTGGCCAAGTCCAAAGGCGTCCGTCCACGCAGGTCCTGGAAAAGGTCGAAGTTGGTGATGTTGTCTTTCATCGGTCAAGCGCTTTCTTAAAAGATGCTTTCTTAAGTCCTAGAACACATCCTACAACAGTATAACAAAGATCCCTCAAAGGAACTTCCAGATGCTTCTTACAGTGCTGTCCTGGGCTGATGTCCAGTCAGGGCATTTGTTGGCAAGAGTCGCAGCCGCTTCCACTTGCTTGGCAGCAACGGCCACATGCAAGGGAGTCTGCCCTCTTTTATCCAAATAATGCCGATCTTCCTTCAACGCTCCATTGTCGATCAGCACTTTGATGACCTCATCCTTGCCATGCCTAGCTGCCATATGAAGCGCAGTCCAATCCTGCCATGTGGCCGTGTTCCAATTCCGACAGTTTTTCGCACCCTTGTGGGTAATGCTGATGAAGGCGCCCTGTTTCACCAGGAAATCACAAACATCTGCATGACCTTGCCAGGCTGCCAGCATCAACAGGGTGTTGCCATCCACATCCGGCTTGTTGAGATCAATTTCGACCGAACTGCTCCGGGTGAGTTCCCGGACCTCCGACACCAAGGTCTCTAAGGCATCTTTCAATCTCTCCAGGTGACCCCTTTCACTGGCTGTAAAGATATCAATGAGGTCGATCTCCCAAATCACTCGGAATTGCATGAAAATCCAAAGGCAAAAATAGATGAAAAGGCTCAGAACCAGCGAACCACACATTACCTGATGCGTGCTGATGATCATGTGCAAATCATCCCAGGAATCTTTAGAGGCGACGATGCAGCAAATGGTCATGGGCATCAGGAAGACTTCGAGCAAAAATCTCAGGTCAAACCACGTCGATATACTCTTGGCTGCTCTTCGCTTGTATGGCGAGTCCACAAAGAAGAATATGTTCACCCACATGCATGGGACGCAAGACAATAGGCGTACCAAGATGCGTTTCTCATCACCTCCGAAGTAGCAGGTCACCAAGAAAGATAAAAGCAGATTCGAGGCGGCAGGGCTCCACCACCAAAAAGTGATCCGTCTAGTAGTGACCACCTCGAATCGCAGCGAAGGCGAAGGCATGTCGGCTCGGGGGAATCTCTGGCGGATTTACTTCGCGACAATCCCCAATCTGGCGTAATTAGGGAACTTTAAGACTCGAGATTGGAGCAAATGACCACCAGTGTTCTCGCTTGGAGAAGCTGCAAGATCTGCCTTCGCATCTCCACGCTTTCAAAACACTTTGGACCGCCATGGACCATGTTGGTCCACCCGAAAACCCTAGAAACAGGTGCAATCGTGCAATCCAAGTGACAAACATCACGTGCATCAGCGTCCGGCTTACAACTTCACTGACTCGAAAAAGGAGGTGGATGACTTCGTAGTAGCGAGACTGAATCTTCTTGGCCACTTTGTTGGAACAGCAAAAGTCCAACTCCATGATGCCAAATCCAGTTGATAGGAACAGGATGAAACCAAGAAATCGCATAAGTTCTTTCTCATAGGGCCACGTCTCCCTCATCAAGGGATCATCTGGTGGTGAGTTCACACTACACCAGGCACAGGTGATCACAGTGATCGCCGGTAAGCCTTCGCACAAGGCACAAATCGCCTTACAGTGAAAGCGGTTCCAGCCATTACTGTTAGTCTCCGGTTCCTCATCGCTGTCCTGGCGTTCCAAATAGTTGTCCCAGGCTAAGTAGAAAATGATGCCCTGGAAAAGGCCCAGTGGAATCCACAGAATCGCCTCGGCATAAAGTCTCAGATTACCAAGCTTCTAGGCTTCCAACCTTTCATTTAGGCCGTCAAAGCACATTTCTTCAAATACACAAACACATTTTTCTACATGCGCGTCGACGCCCGACCTTCCAGTACCATTTCTGAGACTTCAAAGGCAGAAGCCTGCATTGGACATGTGTGAGTTCAGCTCGCCAGGCGGCATGGCTGCACACCTCGAGAAGCATGACATGAGGTGCTCTGGGTCGCCCAAAGAAGCAACAACAACTAGACAAGTGGCTCCGAAACTACGTGGTTTTTGCATGCTTCTGCGTCAGCTGAGGAGCAAGGCCCGAAAACAGAAGCGGAGTGGCCATGGCACACATCATGCTGTAGTTGGCTCCACAAAGAAAGTTGAACATCGCCACAAGCTCAGAAAGCAAAGCAGCCACATGTAGAACCAGGAAGCCCACCAGGACCTGAAAGCAAAAAACCAAGCGAATAAGTCCAAGGCTGCTTTTCCTTCACCAACTTGCTCCGAACACTGGGGGATTCACTGGGCATTTCTCGCCAAGAGCCCGCGTTGAAAGGAACAACACAATATGAAGCATGTTAACGTAGTCACCTGGAATACCTGGACCGCTATCGTTGTCACCCTTCAATCCTCGTTTCGTTTGAAACTCTCGTTGCGCCTGTAGTCCGGGTGCCTGCTTCGGCTCCCCACGTCCCGGCGACAAGGGCTCTCGGGAGTCATTGACGAGTTCGATGTGGAGGTCACTGACCATGGTGGAGGTCGAACTCCAAGAGCACCGAAGAATCCGAAGTCGAACGTGTTTCGACGTCTTTGAAAACGTTCAGTTTAGTCAAAGCCAGGGCCTGGCGGCCTTGGTCACTGTTCTAGCTTTGGTTTTCCAAATGTTCTTTTTTTGGGGGGACCTAGGCTAAGGTGGATGAGGACACTGTTGAGCTGTTTGTTGATGACAAAGTCTTTGCTGTGTCCTTGTGGACAGGTTTGCAGACTTGAGCATCACCCGGAGATTTTCTCAGCAAAACCACAGCTCCAAGACTCTGGATTTACTCAATGACTACAGTGACTTAGGTTGGAGGCCATTGCTATTAGGTTGGAGGCCATTCCTATTAGGTTGGAGGCCATCGCTATTAGACACAACGACAAAAATAATGTAATTATATACATTACATTGAAGTACATGCCTTTCCACATCGTTGGGAGATTCTGAGTCCATCTCCTTTCTCCTTCACAGACATCTCCTTGCTGAGGAGACAACACTTGTATTCGTCTTCGTCAAGAAAACCCGGAAATGATGCTCGATCCACGAAGGCCTCGAGAAGATCACGGCTGACAAGCCAGGAGCTATTAGTAGCTTCTTGTTAGTAGTTTGATAAGGGGTTGATTGCATTTGGAAACGATCGTCTGAGTCTTGTGACATCTTGTGACTGTGGCCTTGAGGTTCGAGTGCTGGTTCATTTCTCAGGTCAAGACCATCAACGGAGTTTCGGGCCGGGCAATTCCTTGGCTTAACGTGGGAAATTTACACAATCTCACGTCCGCTTTGATCCCCCGATTAGTTCAACTGGGCCAAACTCAACCAACGCTTGAGGCCAGCACCAGCTGGGGCTAGGGCATTGCTCGGGCTGAGCTCGTGCCTCAGCAACAACATGGGCCCTCACCCACAAATTTCCAAGACTTTCAGAACTGTCCCAGGAGCAGTCTCACCACAAAACTTGTTTGTTGAACAGTTCCTCTGTCCCCTTTTGCTCTGCGGCTGTATTCTTGGTGAGCGCCAGTGATCAGGGCTACCGCACCCACGCTGTTGTGCAATAACCTGTCCATCAACACTTTGACGGACCCAAACCCATGTCGCGGAGAAAAAACGCGGTGCATTTTCTTGGTGCGGTGATTTGCTGTGATTGTTGATTTCCAATCCTTTTGCAATGTTTTCATGTCTCCATGATTTCGTTTGATCCTAGGGAGATGCCTACTACAAACAGTGGACATCCTCCCTAATTACTGAAAAGAAAGCTGGGTCGGGTCAACCCCTTCTTGCGACCCAGGCAGGGACAGCGGAATGCCTGCTCAGCTGAAGCATATCCAACGTCAAAGGCCAACCTGGCCCAGGATAATTCTTTGTTGGTCTCCATCTCCCGAGCTTTTTTGAGCTACTCATTCTTTTGAGCTACTCATTTTCTGTTTTAAGATCTGGAAAAGAATGTCCCCAACCTGAAAGAACAAACAAGAACATACACGCTCTCTGAATATGAACGCCACTTTCCGGCAGCCTCTCATCATCAAACAAACCACCACGTTGGACCAGCTCTTCTGATCCCTTGGCGCAAGGGCACAAAACTTCGCATTCACCAGACTTCACTAGTGACACTAGTCAGTCTAGAAAAATCTCTGGCCATCTCCTTGCACTCCCAAAAGTCTCAGCTCATGGCTTGAAGGAAGTCTGGCCAGCCAGGGGGTTGATGTGGCGGTTGCTGCAATAACTGCCTCAAATCCTCCATTCTATTGGCGTCGCCTGCGAGTAACGGAGTGCAAAACCGCAAGACTCAAGAGCGTACACCACGCTCCCAAAGCGCCTGACAACCTGCAGCTTCAAACTACATCAAGTATCAAAGGATCATGCCGTTCACGCCTGCATCTGCAGCGCCGCCATCCATCCTGTACAAACGTGAAATTCACAGATGCTGCGACGCTAGAAATTGCCCCCAACCGGACCTAGCCGGACTGCCAAGTGGACCTTGCCTGGATGCCAATGGCTTGGCCAAAGGTGAAACTGCGATTCGTGAGTTCTGTTTCGAGCCGGTGGCACAGCCGGCGGTAGTCAAATCAGTTGATGGTGAGCAACTGGAGATGCCCAAAAGAATGCAGTTGGCTGTGGTCATTTCAGGTTCAATGATAGGAAGAGAAGAAAACCCAGGAACAAACATTATGGTGTTTCATCACCAGAAGCCACGTGCCCTTTGTTGGACAAAGCCCAAAGTTCCCAAAGCAAATACGTCTCGTTCCATCCTTTTGCAGCGAGAGATGGCGCCGAGAAAGATTCAACTTGAATCCGCTCTGCTTTGGGAGCCTAAGCGTCCTTGCTCCTAGTAAGGCCAGGAGCCCGTAGTAGCGTCCTTGTTACTACTAGTAAGGCACTTGTTACTAGAAGCGATGCACTTGTTTCTACTAGCTTCTTGTTCCTAGTAGTAAGGCCAGGAGCCCCTAGTAGCGTCCTGGCTCCTAGTCCAAAATTAACAGAAACATCAAAAGACCATTGGATCCTCGAGTCAAGCTGATGGCTTCACATCAAGAGCTTCAAAATGTATGATGTCACGCCAACGAGTCCTCGTCCACCTTGGAACAATCGGATAGGTTTTGTGAGCATGATGATTCCAGACCACGAAAACGCCTGAGATGAAGCATCACTCATTCTGTAATAATCTGGTATCCTTTTCTTCCATTTCTTACCCTTGCTCCTTTCCGAGGATGGTCTGGTCTCGTTAAACCATGTCAACCCTATCTTCTTAGGTCAAAAGGCACTCTATGGCACTTTATGGCATTCATTGTTTTTCATGCTTCATGCGGCTTTGCGCTCCAAGCGGCGAAGTCCAAAGGCCTCAGGAGCCGTGGGCCACGGGTGCCCAGCAAGGTCGGCTCGCTCTGAAGATCCAAGCGCCGACGGTGCTCCTGGCGACAAGAACTCTCGCTCAGTTCTCAGAGCTTTGCAACAGGCAATTGGAGGTGTTAAGTGCATTGAGAAAACAGAAGTTGTCGCTTGGTGGAACAAGCAATTTGACGTCGCTTTGGTGGAAAGGTGTCGAGAAAAATCCTTCTCTCGACTCTTGACGAGATTCGTGACTTCTTTCTGTGACCTAAATGGGGTTGAGATCTGTCAGAACTAAGGCATCAATCTCTCTCCTTTGTGGTCTTGCCCTGGAATACCAACCACAAGTGATAAAGCCACAGCATCACCTTTCGAGCAAGGGCTAGACCATGCTGTGAGACCAGTGCAAAAGGAAAGGAGGAAACAGGCGACGAACAAACAGTCACGACCCAACCGTCTGAGCGTTTCTGACACCCTCACACGCTTTTCACATTTTGCTGAGTGTTCGAGCCAACATCAGGGCAGCCACGACCACAGCAACACAGCCCAGCAAGACCTCAGCGTCGCCCTTTCAATGGAACAGGACACTTATGTTGGAGCCTGTTCGTTGGAAGTTGATGGAGTCAGGTCCTTTCAGACATCATGAAGATGGATCGTCAAATTGAGGATCCGTTGGAGGTCTGCTTTGATCTGTTTTGAAGCATCCTTGCTGGACCCAATGATCTTGTCAGAAGCATGCCGAATGAAAAACACACGAAGGTGTAGTGTGTAGAGCAAAGCACTGGTCACGGGTGATACAAATCTTCTGCGTGGACTTAACTAGACTCTTGGGAAAAGACATGAAAACAACTGAACCAAACAAAGTCTCATTCCCTCTCGTTCGGCGTATTCTGCTTGCGCTCTCTCAGAGCCCCACGGCCCAGCGGTACCAGGAGCCCTGAGAGGTGCCCGCGGTACCCGAATCCTCGTCCTCACCTTGGAGATGTTTCGAAGCTTTGCGCAGTGGTCGTCGCTCAAACAGAAAGCTTTGTTACTAGCGATGGCCTCTTACGCAAAAGTACAAACGGCCGTCTACAGGATTCAAAGAGGGCACCCAACTTCGCCCCATTCATTTTGTTGACTGGTAGTGATGACTGGTAAGAATGCTACTAGTAGTAAGGCCAGGAGTCCCTAGTAGCTTCTTGTTCCTAGTAGCGATGCCTAGTAGCGTCCTTGCTCCTAGTAGTAAGGCCAGGAGCCCCTAGTAGCTTTTTCTTGTTGCCAATTGCTCTCATTGTCCCAGCAAAAGTTGGCGAATCTGGGCGGCCAAACTCTCACTGCCAGAGAAAGTCCAAAGGATAGCCGGCAAGACAATAATTGCCAGGAAAATCGCCACGGTCGTAAAGATGATGAAGAAATGGTAATTCCTTGGTTTCAACGAATACTTAGCATGTGCACTTCTCATTCTTCACCTTCGACACGCTCGATCTCACACATGTCAGTGCTTTCAACAGGTTTGGCAGCCGTAGATTTGCCAGGCAGCCGTTGGCCCACGCAGTTGTTCACAAAAGGGCAATGGTGGTCATATCGCAGCACCTTTACAGCTCACCCTGAGGCCCTAGATTTAGATTCTCTTTGTTCATTTACCAAGTAGCTTCTAAAGCTTCTTTACTCGTAGTGTTTTTTTTGATTCTTAAGGCGCTGCATGCTAATTTGCTTGAGCACTTAGGCTTTACATCTGGAATAATACAATCCGGAGAAGGGATCTTGAAACAATAGCCATGGCCATGGCGAGCCTCATGACTCATGCTCTCAGATCGCCACTAGGTTGGAGGCCATTACTACTTGTAGCAAGAAGCTACTAGTGTGTTTGAAGGCCAAGTCGTCCAAGGTGCGCAGTGATCACAGTCTTTGCAGTGAGATGCGCGCGGCGGCCGAACGATTTGGCAGGTGTGGCACCTGGGAAAGCGGTTTGCTTGGAACAAAATCGTGGCACAGAAACGACAAACCTAGGGAGCACCTGTTAACTGTTAATTTCATTCGATTTGATCTCGGCATTTGTGAGCGTGAGGCTCAATGGCATTCTTTCACGGCGAAAACTGTGGGTCCCCCCGCCATCGATATCCCTCAGCCCGCAGCTGTTCTGAGACCTGGGGCAAAAAGACGATAAAAATGTGACTTGCTTGGTCCATGATATGGTTTTCTTCAGACCATGATGATTCAAAACATGACACATATGACATATGATATCATATGATGATAGTTTCAACTGGTATGCGGCTCTTCCTTGACTTGAATGATGCAAAGGACATGAGGAAATAGGCTTGTCAAAGTCAGATCTGTCGGCAGGAACCAAAGCCCGCGGCCATGCTGGCTGCATCTAAGCACGGATCTCCACAAGGCTCTTGTCCTCCAAAGGCATTTTGGTGCTTTCAATTGGTTCATGAATGAAGCTACAACATCATACCACATCAAGATTCTTTTTGCGCAACCTGTGCCAAGCTTCTTGTGACTCTTGTGACTTACCCTCCATTCTTCCCAAACCGAAACGACGTCCTCTTGGGCCCAATAAATCGTAGCCCAAAAGCTCCGCCAAATGAGTACGGCTTCCTCACGTGACTCTCGTGGAAAAAAACATAACTTCGATTTCTGGACCTTTCAACTCAAAGGTCATCGCTACTAGGGTGGAGGCCATCGTTATTAGGTTGGAGGCCTTCGCTGCTAGGGTGGAGGCCATCGCTCTTGGGGTGGAGACCATCGCTCTTGGGGTGGAGGCCAACTATGTGGCATTGTCGAAGCGTTTTCGTGACTGTTTTGGGTCGCTCCATCCCTCCTCCTCTTTCTGCCGCGCCTGTGGCCAACACAAACCTCCTGGGAGGGATGATGCCTGGATCGCTGCAGCAGGTGGCCAGTAGCGATGCCACCTCAAGTCCCAGATTGAGACGAGTGTGTGAGGGAGTAATGAGATGTAATGAGTGGCCTATGGGGCCATGAGTGTCTGTGATATACGGTATGTGGTAAGGTTCCGCTTCTTTCTGAGTTCAGCCTGGTAGGATTAAAACTGAAACGATTGATACATACACAGATTCTATTCGTCACACCTCAAGTCTCAACCCCCCAAGGTCTTTAACGGCGAGTGCATCTATATCATCAGTGCTTGATTCCCTCTCATTCATAAGCTGCAGAGAAGTTGACTCGTGAGAGTCTAGGTTTGGCATGGTTTGGCCTTGCTCCGTGCACCCTGAGTCTGCGTGCTGTTGCTGAGAATAGCAACAGGAAGCTGGGAAGCAGCAGCGGTGACACGTTTTGCCTGCAAAGTTCTCAATGAGTAGCGGCCGATATGTCAAAGTTACAAAATGGCAAAAATATGGGATGCTTGCTCAAAGAAAAGCATCGCTGCGTCGCTGCAGGTTGCCATCGCGGCTTTTCATCCAATTTGGTATCTCACCAGTGCCTCTGCAAACGCGGCAGCGCCACTGTGAAGAACCTGATCCAAGGCTAGCGCGAAACGTGTTTAGAACTGACATGAGATGTTACACTGTGCATCGCATAAGATTCTTCTCCGCAACCACCGCTTGTTTGATGTCATTATCTTCTGCTTCTACCACTTCAGAAGAAACGCGCACTAACAAGGTGAAAGGGCACAAGCTTGTGAAGCATTTGTGCTTCAGATAACTTGCAATCCAGTTGCAGGGCGCTGGGGAGCAAAATGCAGATCCTGAGTGCTTGGAGGAAACACAGGGGAGCTGGTTGAAACTCGTAAACCTGGCTGCAAGCTCTGATCTTCGAGAAACACTAACCGACTAACTCCAATTCGGGACCTGAAGTAATGTGAACAAGAAGGTATAAGAAGCTACTAGGAGGGGCATCGCTACTAGGAGCAAGAACGCTACTAGGGGCTCCTGGCCCTACTACTAGGAGCAAGAAGCTATTATGATGGTGTCAGTTTGCAAAGACCAAGGTGGGAAGCGAGGCAGCGAGACTCGTGACGTTTCGTTGCCAAGTGGCCAAGTAGCCAGGCTCGCGCAACTGAGGCCGCCCAAACAAGCGATGGGGCACTCGCCCTGCCAGGTGTTCGGACCAAACGACCAGGTCATTGGTAACGAAACCGCCTATCCTATGTTGAAATGTGGGCAGCCACCTTTTGATCTGAGTGATTGTTTCAGGCTTGTGTGGTCGCTGTCTGCAGTGGTGCAACTGTTCATACTGGGATACATTGTCGTGGGCACCAAATCCCACCTCCCCTCCAGTGATGCAGCGACCAGCGCAGTAGAACCTACTCTTCCCACGCCAGTGCTGGTACCTGAGCTGTCTTGAAAGTCCCCAGGTGCCATATCATGTCACCAAACGGCAGGCCAAACAGCCCTTAAAAATCAGCAAGTACGCCAACAAACATGGCCACATTGGACGCACTAGACCAGTCTGCACCACAACGTTTTCCACGCCGGGACCGACTTTCCACCCAGGTCACAGGCGTGAGCGAGCAGGCCGCGGCCTTGTCCCACAAGTCCGGGGTCTATGATTAGAACAAATCGTAGAAGCTTCTTGGTCACTACACTAAAACAATCTTCTTTTGAGGTGCTAATAGCAATGGCCTCCAACCCAATAGCGATCCAAGCTAGAAGCATCTGACACACCACTTACTTCTGCTTGCTACAAGTATCACTGCCTCAATGTTGCTAGATTAAGTATCTATAGCGGACAAAGCTACTCTATATTGAATCTGTTTCTCTCACCCATCCACTTCTTTCCATCTGTCATCTCTTGTCATCTGGTCTGTTGTTCTTTCCGTCCGCCTCATTGGGTCCATCAATGCTCACATCGGACAAGTCTCCTTCATCGCTGGTCAACCCGACATCGTTTCTCATCGTGTCCGAGCATCGTTTGCTTGAGACCTCAGGACCTCCCTTTTGGCAGTGGAGGATCTGCATTAGACACTTTGTTTGGTGTGATAGAAGGCAGCGGAGGCGCTTGATTTCGATCTAGTGAGTTCAGCTGACATGTTGTGTAGTCTGCACGTTCAAGTGTCACAAATTGGTTGCCCGGTGTCATAAGTGCCACATGTATCTGAATCTGCTGAGCCAACTGCTAGCCACAGGACGAAGAGATTCAGTAGCGTGCACACGTGCACAGTACAGGTCACGCAGAATGGGTCGACCCCAGCACTTGACTGCTCAGTGACCTTTTCTTGACCTCCTTGCGCTGGCAAGTCCTCTGTGTCAGGACTCAGCCTTATCAAGATGTGCGCATCGCTCAACATGAGTGTGTCATCTCGTGAGCCATGCAGCATATGATGTAACACAATTGAGACGAGAGGCTTCCGCAAAAAGATCCATTCCTTTCTTCCCATCGGAGGCCTGCAAAAAAGGCAACTAAGGAATGGGCAAGGCACTCTCGGACATTCTTGGTAGCTCCAGTATTGATATCTCCCACTTGCAAAGTCCCTCGTGCGCAACATGCCTTTTATTGATCCAAGTCTGTAGCTCGCAAATCAGCATTGAAGGCCTTTGCCGCCTCCTTATTGTTTAGATCTGTTTAGTGACCAAGTCCTGTAGGGCACAGAAAGGTCCAGTCTCGGCCTCGTTTTGAGCCTCCTTTGCAAGGACATCAGCGAGGGGTGCCTCTGTGAGGCCGTCCTGTCGTTCAGGGTCCACCTGCCGATCGTCAGGTCCGTGCACAGAGTCCGTCGAGGCGAGTTGATCAAACGTTGGTCAACGGCATCCATGGCAGGGGTGCGGATTCAAGCCGTCTGAAGCAATAAAACAAACCTAGAATGAACATGTCCTTGCGGCTCCCGTGCACGCTAGCAATCATGGACATGGTACGGAAATATGGGCTCATGGCATCTCTGCGATTGCAAACGCCTCGCCTCACCAAAGAGGCAAACATTCTCCCCTCGGATTAGCATGGTGCCAAGGTAGATGTCTGCAAAGACCTTCTCCTCAAGGGAAGGGGAACACAGAAATGCTTGGGAAGATGCCTGCCACTATTCTGCTCCAAAAACAATAGGGCGCTGTCTACCACAGTGGTTGCCATGAATTTTGAGGCCTGTGCAGGGCTGTGAGCTCAGTGAACTGGAGACTAATATATTCGCATTCCCCTTGCTAGAAGCCTTTCAGGGAACTTTTTGCCTTGGCTAAACGCGACACCAGTCGTGACTGAGCAATGGACAAATTGGATCTTCACTCACCTCTGTGTGTTCTTTTTGCGCTATTCACCGATGTGTGTGCAGCTTTTGACTTGCCTTGGCCTTCGTGCGTCGCTCCTGCTCTCTACTCCGTCTTCCCCGCTAGTCCTTTGAGGTGGAGGGTTTGCAGCCAAACGGTTGGTTTCAGCCTTGTCGGTTCAAGAACAATGACTTGGGGGTTGTTATGATAAGACCCGACCAAGGCGCTTTCAACCTTGAGCCAAAACTAGTGCACCACGTAGAAAATGTTTTGACAATACCTGTGGTTTCTGCACCCCTCTCATTGGAGACGTGGTGCTTTGGACGAGTAGTAATGCCCATGAAACTGCAGTCTAGGCGAACTACGGCAAAGGCGATACTAAGAATGATAGCTGGGCTCACTACTCCCCGAAGCCTGACCCGTTGAGTCCTGAGCCCTTCTAAAAGCCTTCACCGGAACTGCTTGCGCTTCCCGGGAACTGCTTGCACGCGTAGGGATTGGGATGCTCAGCACAGTTCTCACGGCCTTCAGGTTTTTGCTCCAGCAGTTGAGAAAGAGCCGACGGCTGCCCCTCGGCGTTCTGGTCAACAAGCCGCCAAAAGACTCGCAGCTTCTTTCGTTTGGCCGACTTGCGCTTCCATGGCCTTGTGCACATCCACCGGTCAGCCATAACGTGCTCCATGCAGATCAAGGCCAATGCGGAGCGCTCTGCTTCGATCTCAGAACACTATGGCATCACACACGGGCACGGCTCAATATGGAAATACGTTGAAGTAGAAGTGAAAGAATGAAGGGAATCCAAAGCCAGCGCGGATGATAACCCAATGATTTAGGCGTCGTTATGATAAAACCCGCCCGAGGTGCGGACCATTTCAACCTTGAGCCAAAATTAGTGCACCACGTGGATGATGTCTTTGACAATGACCGTGGTTGTGATTGGAATCTTTTTGCCAAGAATTTGTGGCGCGGAAAATGAAACATTGCGAACACCCATTGGGTGGGGGGTTTCCTCATTCTGAAGCGGTGTGGAGACACGTATTCCGAGCCCAAGCAACATTTGAGCCACCTCTTTTTGGCTTTTTGGTTGCTTTTTGATGGAAATGGTAGGTGTAGGCTACCTTTCATTCGGCGTAGCCTCGCGAAGCCTTCCACGTGTAGACTGCCATGTGTAACCGCAGCGCGCACGATTTGAGAAAAGAACGGCTCAAACGCGCAGCGTTCACCCTGCCACTTTGACAGCAAGTCCTCAAAAATGATGTGCCGCTCTACGATGTGCTCGACAAGAAGATTTGTAAATTGGTCGAAGGTCCTTCAGGCAAAACCGTTGTGCATGTCTGCGCTTGGATAGAAAACAAAGCAGGACATGGTGGAAACATGTTTGTGTTAACAGTGCATGGACTTCGGTGTCGCTGCAAGGGCCCTGAGTTTAGACCTTGACTCCAAGATTTTGGTATGTATTAGTAGCGTTCTTGCTCCTAGTATCGATGCCAGGAGCGCCTAGTAGCGTCCTTGCTCCTATTAGGCAAAGTCTGACGCTTCTGCAGGAACTTTGGGACTGTCCTCAGCCAGCCAATGAGCTTCCGACCATCACGCAAGATGATCAGCAGCTTTTTGTCGACCTTGGAAGATATACAACAGCAATGGAATGGGAGCTATTTCAACCTGTAGAAGGGTTGGCAAGAATGAAGTGGCGTACATTGGTAGGAAGGTGGGGTAGGCCTGAAAACCTTACAACAATTCAAGTTGTTCATTCCCCCTATGTCAGGACTACCGTCTGATTTAACTTCCTTCTTATGCAGCTACCACTAGATGGTTTTACTACCTGATATTGGGCATGCTAAAGTAGTGATGACGAACACGCAACTAACAGTGCAAGGTCCACAGTGGGAAGGGAATGCAAAGCTGGTGCTGGAAGCTTAATCCACAAGAACACTTGCAAAAAAAGAAGACAGGTCAGCAACACCTATCGTAATTACAATGACGCTCGCCATTAAAGAAGAGAAGAAGAGAACTGGAGCACAAACTTGTTTGAACAGGAGAGCCAATGGCGTAAGAATCAATGAAAGCGGAATGCAAGCCCCTATCATAGAGTTTACTTGGTCCCTTGAAGTTTTTGACGTTGGTAGTCAACCTCTTCGACACGCTTGCCGCCAGTATGTGGACGCACATACAATCAGCACTTTTGAGCCAAGGCCTAACCGGCACACATGGCCTTTCAAACGGTTCTCTTAGATTTACATAGTTCTTTGTCCCAACGCTTTAACATGCAACGCTTTGGCCACGGCAGCCGAGGCACATGTTCCTCCAAATTGCTGGCCCAATGTGGCAGCTTCCCTGGGCGCCCTTCAAAGACTGGCTGCTCCATGCGTCATGTGCCGAACGAAATTACCCAAGATCGGCTTTGTTGAGCGATTTCGCCCTCACTGGTGGTCTGCTCTTTGGTTTGCAAGCATCATGCCAGGTGGCGGTTGTATTGGAAAATTCCTGATTGGCATTCTGAAGCAGGGTGAAATAACTAACGATTGGCTGTCAACGTGGAAGTTTTCAAAGGCTTCTAAAGCAACCCTTAAAAAGTGAGCCACTTTGATTCTTGCAGGCAAAGGTGCGGACCAACACAGTATTTGCTGCAAGCGAAACAATTGCCACCGACGCCTACGCAGTCCTAATCATCGCGCTGATGCCTCATCATTTAAACTAACGCGAGCGCATAACTGGTTCCAGTTCGGCAGTGACTTCAAGTGGCATCTTTGGCTCGACTTGCAAGACTTGCTCGACAGAATCAGAACCGGAATCTTTGTACAATTTTTGTTGTGAAACACCTAGCTAATTAGCCTTTTTCTTTGCAACTGTCCATCAGTCTACGAGTTTTTTGCTTCTCTGAAATTTCATCATCTCAAAGTTTGTTTCCAACAACAAAGGGCATCGCTACTAGGAGCAAAGGGCATCGCTACTAGGGGCTCCTGGCCTTACTACTAGGAGCAAGAAACTCCTAGGAGCAAGGGCGCTAATTAGTTTCCTCATACGACTGAGAACTTCCGCTGACCGACCTGAAATTCGTAGGTCACATCTTCGGTGCGCGCATCGACCGCAGTGCACACCTCCTCAGTTCATCGGTGACTCGTGGTGATCTTTTAATAATGAAACCTCTTTTTCTTTGGACTTGTAAAAACTTATTTTGTTTCCTGTCTTTCTTTAGACTCTTTTTGGATCTCTAGGGGATTGGGGGGATGGGGCTTGGGGGTGGGGTAGTGGTAGGCCAAAAGTTAAGTAGCTACTACCCAGGAAACATTCTCTGCTCAACTCAGGTTTTTCTGGCGGGGGAGCTTCCTTAAACCCCTGCATGATTGATTTGGTTCCTGGATTTTTTGGAAAACCGTCTTTTCTCCTCTTTTCTCCTTGTCATGTTCCGTTTGCTCTTTGTGAATGATTGTTAAGACTTAAACCTTCTTTGGACCTTTAGATCTATATATTGTTTCCTTTTCTTGCTCTGTGTTCTTTCCCTTGTTTCCATTTTGTTGATAGGTTTCCTGGTTGATCTCCATCATGCTCACTATGGCTCATCCAATTGGTCCAATGTTTTCTGTTTGCTTTTGCAATTTCCTTTTGCATCGACTCAGCATGCCCAGGGACCAGTTGACCATCTTCGACAACTTGAGGCTCCAAGTGCAAATAGTATTGGTTCCAGGAGGTGAAGTCCCTGCGTGTATCGATGACCTCAGGGTACCAACAATTTGATGCTGGCAACATCCATGTACAAACCGTTGGAGTTCAGCAAAAAGGGCACATTTTGTGACAATCCAAAAAGTCTGATATCAAAACAATTCCAAAATACATTCAACCGCTTTCAACCCTTTGGAGGAGGGTCCGACATTCACCCCCAAGAGCCAAGGAACATTACTATCCGAGAGCTCAGTTTGCATCCACAGCAAAGTGCCACCAACCTTGAGCAGCTTCGGTCTCTGGGAAGCGCAAAGCTCTCTGCCAGTCGGCTCAAACAGATGACAAGTGACAAGCACACAATGTTGTCTGCAAATGATTGTGTCTGCGCTCCTGATGCCGAAGCCCCAATGGTGGCCCGTGTCAACCTATTCGGATCATTGTGTTATATCCGCCGACCCTGACCTAGCTGACGCCTAGGCGGGGCGGCGCCTGGGACACCGCAAGGTGAAACGGTGGCTCAACTTGCTTTCGGCCAAATGCTCAGCAAGACCTGCTGGTGGCCATAACCTGCGCCTTGTCCGGCACCTACCTGGGCTGCTGCTACGCGGTTCCAAACCTGTGCTTCTATACGGTTCCAAAAGCAACCTTGGAGAATGTTAGAGAGTGGCAGCCGTCCGTCCGAGCCGCCTTGCGCCGCGTTTGCGCGCAGAACTAAATGGGGGAAAGCTGTGGCGGAGCGTTTCGGGCGCTATCAGGAGCTTCTTGTACTGCTTGGTGGTGTGGCCGGCAAGTTGGGGCGGTGGCAGCTCTTTCCCAAGCTGTAAGTCCTGCGTTGCTGTGGCGTCTTTGAAGATGGGGCTCCTGGCCTGGAGAAGCGTCCTCAGGTAGCCCGTTCGCAAGGTCATAGAAACCCTTGCGCTTGTTTGGATTGGTCCAAGGTTCCCACACGCAGCCAAGCTGGACTTTTTTAAACTTTGGATGTGACATGTGTGGCTAAGGTGCATAGATAAAGCAAAGCCTGGGCTTTGGATTGACAGCCTGGAGCAATGCCTGGCGCTGCCCAAGCTGCATGGTGCGAATGCAGAACTGCAGAACCGAAAAAGTAAAACCCAGCCTTGGGACCGTGATTGCCAGACCCTGATACGGATGGACCCGCAGGTTTGAGGCCGTTCTGGCATCCACGCCCTTGGAGTGGGAACTCTTGATCAAGATGTTTTCAAGGCTCTTTGATCTCTCATCTGGATTTGTGTGGGCAGGAGAGCTCCATCTGCTGGATGTTTCAAAACGGTGGTAGTGCCAAAGGTGGTGCTGTCTTCAAAGCCTGCCCGGTCTGGTAGAGCAAGCCGCGTCAAGCCACGGTAGACGCAGATCGCACAACATGTGGGCCGTTTCGTGGTTGGGACCGACGTGGCTCTGCAGCTTTGGTGACCACACCGTCCACGAGAGTGTTTTTTTTACGTGGCAGACCAACGCGAGTTTCTCATCCGTTAGGTATTGACCCAGACTTCGTTGGTCCAGCGCAGCAATTCATGAGCTCTTGCCATGTCACTTCGTCCCTGTAGTGGTCCGGATAGTCGATGATCACAGGCTAAAACTAGGTAGCCCTGATAACACCACAGGTCCTGCAGCTCAGGGAGCTTCTAGTTCAACATGCTCAGCCAGCTTGGGTGATTTTTGGACGGCCTCTTTGACGGCGCACTCAGCCAGGTAGGCGCGCATCCATGGCCAGGAGGTATAGAGCTGGATGGCGTCATACACGTGAGGCGCAATGGACACAGAGTGGTGGGCAAGGATCAGTGCACGGACCTTGACCGGAACTGTGAAGGACAGTGATGAAGCACCAGTGACTTGACGGTGTTGAGGCACCGAGGTGGCGCACAGCCAAGAAGTGATCTCGTGATCTGTGAGAATCTCAAAGAAATCTCGTGGCGCAATGCCGCGTGAGACCCACTAGCCTGATCTTATGAAGGGCACAGGCTTGAGACCTCAAATCTTGAGCCATGCATCTATGTTACGCGTGATGCATGCATGGCTGGCTGGCTGGCTGGCTGTCCGTCTGTCTGTCCGTCTGTCTCTGTATGCATGCAAGCATGCATGTATGTATGCGCGCACGAGTATGTATGTATGTATGTATGTATGTATGTAGCTATGTATGCGTGCGTGCGTGCGTGCATGTATGCATGTATGCGTGTATGCATGCATGCGTGCATGTGTGTATGTATGTTTTTCCTCTTCCATACTTCCTTTCTTCTCCTTTCGCCCTTTCCGTCCGTTCCACGCCTCTGAGCCCACCGGCACCTGGAAGGTCAGGCGCTTCCGCTGCTGTAGCTGTTCTTGAAGCCTGAGCGGTCGCAGAAGCTGGCTGAGCTCCGGTCGGTGGAAACGTCGGCATTTGGACAAAGAGATCTTTGAACGCCGAACGCTTCCAGGTTTTCACCTCTTTGTAAACATTCATCAAGTAGAGATCTTCTGCGCCTCGCCCCACGCGGCATAATTTTTGTGTCTGTCCAACCGACACTTCTTGACGCAAAGAATATGTGAGAGGTTTATAGACCAACAGTGCGGGCCTCCCACTTGTGAATTTCCCACCTGACTTAAAGAAAAGAATTTTAAGGAACCTAATAGCGATGGCCTCCAACCTAATTGGGTGTGTATGATTCGGGGGTATGACTCGAGGGTATGATTCGCAAATAATTCGCAGTATTGTTGGATTGGCGGGACTTTCAGCAGTCTGCGCCGTGAGGCAGTAGGCAAGCAGTATCTGTAGGTTGCTGGGCAGACTAGGCAAATCCAAAGACCCCACACCTCACCAAAGGCACGACCCTTTTGACTGCACCAGTGGCCCTCTGCAGGCCCCAGCAAAACAACCAAGATGTGGGATAGGTGGGAGACTGTGTGGAGGTGTGTGATTCGGGTAGGAATCGGGCATGAATCGGGTGTGAATTGTACGGCCATTAGATTCTGTGAAGCGATCCTTTGCCTCCTCTTCCCAAGGGAGGGCACATGGGAACATTAGCATGCCTGGGATGTGAGGTTTGCTCTTCCCACAAGAAGACAAACAAGCTTGGCCAAATTGAGTGCCCGTGGATCACACAACTGCAAGCGTCATGCACAATTTTTTCATGGACATCTACAAGGCACAAAGACCAACCAAAAGCTTCACCTCAACACAGAGTTCTTACACTTACATATCCAACGCTAAAGGCGATCCTTCGTTGTTCGCCTGAGGCTTCTGCTTTTCGAGGCCTGGCGCTGGAAACCGTAAAAAAACACACATCTGCGTCGAATCTAATTCTGCAGGACCACCAAAAGGGTGGTCAGCAGTAAATCAAGGCTGACAGGGCCGGGGACACTTGCTAATGTTAATCAATCAGAAGGTAAGAGCGCAACTCAACCTACACAATAGACTTGGTACCAGTCTCAAATCATGCCAGAATCCCACACTCGAAGTCGTAGTCCTCCCAAAGCTGGCCCTCTGCCAAATGTAAGTCTTCAGGGAAGTTCCGGCTGTCATAGAGTCCCACTTCCAGTGTTTGCCTCCGGGACAAGTACGTCGAACCAACCAGTGGACCAAATACGACCAAATACGAGGAAGTCATCAGAGTTCACATTTTGGGCAGCCCTACAGCAAAGGGCAATGCCCAACGAACAAAGCAAAATGCTTGGGGCAATTCTCGTCGTGGTTCGCTTGCTTAGAATCTCAATGGATGAACCTGGCTAACACAACTACTGAGAACCTGTCAGTCCTGCCTCAACCAGGAACCATGCAGAAACCAATTTCGAAACCGATCTCCACCTGAGCTGGATGCACCAAAAGGGAACTAGTGGTGAGTAATTAGATCTTTAATACAGCCCCTCTTGAATTAATCAATTGGTGACTGGACAAGTGCAAATTGATTTTAAACATGACAAATTAATTTGCAACGAAACCGAGTGTTTAGCATTGTTCGTAAGCTGGATCTGGAAACTAATTCAGGGGCCTAGAGTTCAGTATTGTAGGGGAGGTCAAGCACTCAACCACCCAAGCGTTAATTTTCACAAGAATAACATGCTTTTTAAATCACAACTTCATACCCAAAGGCGACCCCAGCCCCCAGCACTCACCTTCCCACTTTTCCTCTCAGCGCTCCCAAAATAGTACCCTTAGTATTCATGTAATTGCTGCCACCATTCATTTCCGAGCCCTTCTCTATCAAATTCTTGCTTTTACGCATTTTACACCAAGCCTTTTAATGTTTTCTGGTGGACAGCACCAAAGCCAGGAAATTTCCAGTGTTACCCTCTTTGAGCAACAACACAAGAGCTTTGCAAAGCATTACGCAAACTCAGCTGTTTTGCCATCCTGGAAACTGATTCACAGGTAACCTACCTCTCCACCACCTTTCAATTCTTTTCTTCCCCCACCGCACATCTCAAACATAATTGACGCTAATTGTTTTTTTTTTGCTGGGGGGTTGCTATTTCTCTGCTGTCAAACTATGTTGTTTCTTACGTTTCAGCTTTGTTGAGGGCCCCTCCAGCATCCTATGTCAGCAATATCGACAATTAATTACTGCAAATTATATAATTTGAGACTCAGAGCCCCACCTCAAATCTTTTTCAAGGGCTGGCCCCATGTGAATGTCGAACGATATAGCTCATTACCCGCTAAGGACGTCTATAATTTGGGTGGGCCCCTATCGGTTTTCAGGTTTCGGCATCTCTTTACATGTATTTGGGTGGTACCACATCGGTCTCAGGTTTTCTTACACGTCTACAACTCTTTGGGGTATCGCTTTTGATTGGACCATCACCCATGTTAGAGTTTGAGGGTATCGGTTTTGGGTGGGCCCCTATCGGTCTTGCAGTCAAATCGTTTTTTCGAACAACAATGTCCAGCCGAAGACTACTGCTGACTTACAGTAATTCTGTCGGGTACTCATGTGATACCGCATGTTGCCTTCCAGTTGTTAGGCACACAAAGTTCATTACCAAAGTTACAGCAATGCGTTTTCGCCAAGGAACGCGAGAGCTGCAATGGTTGCCTCAGGTTGACAACACTCTCCCAAGGTCCTGTACTGGTTGTGGGGTCATCAGTTTCTCTGGTAGATTGATGGGAAACGGTTTTCGTTCCTGCCATCTGGCGACGAACCTGGACAATTCTTGTCTGCAAAAAAACACATGCACCAAGAACATCCATCCATGGAGCACGTACAACCTCTATTGTCTCTATTCCGCTGCAAAATCATGCAACATCTACTTGAAATATCTTCCTCCTCCTCCTCCTCCCCTCATCATCATTGTCATCACCCTGCCTGCCACATCAAAGGGCCTCCCTTGCTCCAAGCTGCACGGGTGCTAAATAGCTGCTGGCACGCTTTGGTACCGTCGGCAGTGGCCCCAAGCGATGTTGCACATCTGCTAGGATGGCCTGAGATTTTGCAGCTAGTCGAAACCATCGCAGCTATGCCTCACATCATCCGGTCCATGGAGATGTCGAAGCAGGGAGTTTGGGCGACAATAACACCACATATAAAGTTCATCGAGTTCGCAAGAGGTGTTTCAGAAAGGTAGCAAGGCCAGCGCACAAGCAGGCCATGAAAGCACCAGCCGCCCTCACACGCGTGCGAGTCTAGAAAGGTCCATATTAGTCAGTCAAACCAAACCCGCCCTAAACAAGCCACCAAACACTGGCCGAAGGCCAAACACCGAAAGTGAATTACAGATATTACAGCAACTTTTGACAAATATTATTGCTCATGACACGCTAACCAGCTACGAGGTCCCTAAAAGCCCACTGTCATCAAAAAGCGGATGCCAAATCCCGGATAGGACAAAAGGGGGCGCGTCAAGTTGCACGAAGTCGGCGAAAGACCACACGAACAAGAGGCCCTCTCCCCTCGCGGCCGAGACTCGGAACACGAATCCCGAATCTGACAATCCGGATCCGTTTTGGTTTGAACGAAATGAAAACCGGATCCAATCCGGTTCTTGTTTTCGGCAAAAAAACACATTGACCCTCCACGGCTGTCGACCGTCATCGCCATCGTCCGATTCCCAGGGGCCGGTGCGCCCTCTTTGCTGGCCTCGGAATCGTCGGGAACTCGACCACAACGACCGCAGTTGTTCACAAATCACAAATTGGCATGGCTTTTGGATTTCCGCTTCCTTGATGTTTGCAGGCTGCAATCAGCTAAGTGTCCACCTCTTCTCCCAAGCCGAGCTGCCGTGTATCCCAGCAGCTCTGCCACCAGTAGTTCTGGCTCCTGCTCCGCCAAGAGCTCAGTGGGTAAGGACATGGACCGCCCAGACAAGATCTGAAAGGCAGCGGCTGTACGAAAAAAACACTGGCTGTGATCTTGTAGCAAGCATTTGGGCGGTTTTATGAACATGTTTTATAAGGAGGCCATCGCTACATGATGTAAACAAGCAAAACATAGCTTAACAACTAACACCTTCGGAACTGGATCATCGTGAGAGCTTTGCCGCTTCGTGTATCTTTGCATCTTGGCTTGGCACCCGAACGCCCCAACACACAGCTGCTGCACGGCTTCGCCTGCACTCGATCGCCATAGTGTGCAACTTGCTTCCGGGCCATCTGGGCATGTGCTGGAGAGGCTTCCACGGCAGTGACGTGCTCAGCAGAGGCTTCCAAGGAGAGCTTGACCTGAAGCGTCAAACGGCCCCTCAGCATCTCACAAGGGTCTCTAAGTTCCAAGAAATATGCGGACACGTGTTGAAACGCAGTCTGTGCAACGGTGTAGGGCCCCTACCAGCGGAGCCCAGGGCCCACAGCCGATCTCTAAGACACGCTTGGCACGGTGTGTGGCCATGGCACGGCGAAAGCCGTCCATGCGCAACTCATCCGTGGTGAGCGTATACCTCACAGTCCACTCGAGACTGGTACGTAGCAGTATCCAATCTTTGGGCTCATCTGCACACCAAGTTGTCAAGAACCAAGATGCAGGAAGTCCGATGAATAAGATGTACGCATCCGGGCAGGTTCGTGGGGCATCAGCTGAAGGATCGGGTAACCCTTTTTTGCCGCCTGCCAGAAACCTTAGATCTGAAGACAGGTAAGAAATAAGAAAAAGAGAGATTGTCAGGGTGCCTCAAGGAATTTGCCACTACAGGGCTCCTTGGCGCAAAGCCTGCATACACACGCATTCACTTCATTTGATTCACCAGACCTTTGACCTTTGGATAGAAACAGTTGAAGTGTGGGAACAAAAAACTATTAACGAAAACCAAATTTGCAAAATCATGGATAGGAACAAACTAATAGTAACAAGTGCATCGCTACTAGTAACATGGGCATTACTACTTCTTCCGTCGACCACAAAGTGCCAAGCGGCGCCGGGCACTGCTGGCACCAGAAAGGCGTGCCAGTGACAGGGTAGCCTTCAAAAGGCCGCTATTCAACTTCGGTCATTACATGACAATAGCGACCTTGCACATAGGACATCCTATAGGACCTAATAGCGATGGCCTCCAACCTAAGCACAAAAAATATTAGACCTTTCTTCCTTATCTTTGTTTCTGATGGCAATGGCCTCCAACCTACTAGCGATGGAAACAACTGAATCTTCATAGCAGACCTAGGACATCCTAGGACCTAGCAGTTCCCCATCCACGTTGACTGCCACATTGGGTGGCCTCAGATGAGAATCTCTTGTGCTTCGGCCGAAGAGGGTTGGCAGCAACAAAGGACTTCTTTGAGCTCCTGTCAGCCAAATCTTCTGGAGCTTGCAAGGCTGGTTGAAGGGAACTTCATATTACTTCTTCCAAATGCATCGAGCAATCTCATCAACTTGCAGTGCCTCCCAAAAGCGATGGGCTTCTGCGTGCTGCTTCTCAACCTACTGGGGGGTCTATCGGCATCGTGGCATGGATAACTCTTTGCAAACTCAAAGCAGGACACCTCTTTCAAGCTTTTCAGGCCTCACGATGCACTGCTGCAACCATCCGGGGAACATCCCGGTGTAAGAACACTGCCACCTCCCGCGAATCTTTGGCATTAGGGCAAGAGCTCAGTTCGTGGAAGTCAAAAATTGGCATGCTTAAGTCTAAGTACAATTATATCCGCCGACGCCGGCCTAGCTGACGCGTAGGCGGGGCGGCGCCTAGGATACCGAAGGTTGCAACTTCTACCTGCTTGGGTGTCCGGAGCATCTACCTGCTCTGCCTTGCCGCCGGGCGGTACCTTCGCTTTTTTTTGGCATCGCTTTGCCTCTGGTCTAGAGCTCCTTCCTGCTCTGCCCCCAGAATTAGATGGGGAAAAGCTTGTCGCGGTACCTCGGCTTTTTGCTTCGCTTTGCCTTAGAGCTCCTACCTGCTCACGCTGGAAAATGGGGGGTCGGCGGCGCCAGGGCGTTAGCCCTTTCTATTCGGCGATGCGTACCGATGACTCAAGCGTAGCTTGCTATACGGAGACGTGCCCGATGCCGCCGACCCGCATTTCTAGCATCACCCGGGCTCAGGTGGATTCATCAAAAAAATGTCAACGTCAAAAACTGAGGGAAAATGATCAAACATTGCCACTGACGAAAAAGTAGCTTCCAAACATCTTAGAAAATAAAGCTTTGAAAATGGATACAAGCTTAAAGGAGAAATTTGGGTCGAGCATCATCAGCATCAGCAGAGTCTCGGCAAGAAAGATGCAAATTCTTTGGTGCACGACTAGGCAGAAAACACTGTAAATTACAGTGCTTTTGCAACATGTATGTAGTTTATGAGCAACGCTGCTCATATTCTGGTGATGCCAATGGTGCTCGACACAACTGCTACCTCAAAACTTCCTCTCCTCTTAGCATACTCTCTTCTCTACAGATAAAGCTTTACAGTAGCAATGCTTTAATCATTTTCCCTGTGTTTTTGACGTCTTTTTTCTAGCACTACCTGGGCTTATATGGCTTCTTGCAACATCAGGACTTTGTAGTGGAAAGCGCTGAAAAAGATTGTAAGCGCAGATAGCCTTAGGCTAGAGCGTACTCAAAAATACCTTCCTTCCACGTTTTCTACTACAAAGACAAAGCCCTGAAGGAGCCGTGCGCGCGCTCGCGCGCTCTCGTGTGCGCGCGCGCTCTCGTGCGCGCGAGTGCGTGCGCGCGAGTGCGTGCGCGCGAGTGCGTGTGCGGTCGTGCGCGGTCTTGCGCGTGCGGGTGCATGTGCATACGTGTGTCTGAAGATGAGGTTGCTTTTCCATCAGACCCTGGTGCGCACACCTGTGTGGGAGTGCGCAGGCGTAAGAAGCTGCGCTAATCGTCGCATTATGCTGTGCAAGGAGCCTCCGGATACGCGCAGTCCCCCCAAGGGCGTCGCCGGTGGGCGAAGCCTGTCAGTAATATAAGTATGAATTATCCGGCCTTGCGGCGCTCGTCTACTGCTGGGAAGAAGTATCTGCTCGGCAGCCACTGAAGGGGCCGACGGCAGAATTGCACTTCGGTCATCTACGCACAGCAGGCCAAGCAGGCGTCTGATTGTTCAATCTTCTTCCTGAATGAAGTGGGTTTACCATCGCCATTGATTAGGTTGGAGGCCATCGCTAGTAGGTGGAGGCCATCACTTTTAGGTTGGAGGCCATCGCTATTAGGTTGATGTTTTCAGAACCACTTCAATTATTTCAACCTATGAACTTTCGCACGTACATTCTGCCGGATCGAAACCAGTGAAATCTTGAATTCTGAAGCCAACTCCACACCATGCCGTCGTCTGACATGTCTCAAATGCATTGGATTCACTGTGTAAAGACTCATGCTTTCGACCGAATCGCTCAGCCAACACCAGCACTCCGATGCACTCGCAGTCAAGTCGCATCTTTGGCCCAACTTGCACAACAGAAGACCTAGAACATCCTAGGAATTCCTAGGACCTAGCAGCTCCCCACGTTGACTGCCACATTGGGTGGCCTCAGATGAGAATCTCTTGTGCTTCGGCCGAAGAGGGTTGGCAGCAACAAAGGACTTCTTTGAGCTCCTGTCAGCCAAATCTTCTGGAGCTTGCAAGGCTGGTTGAAGGGAACTTCATATTACTTCTTCCAAATGCATCGAGCAATCTCATCAACTTGCAGTGCCTCCCAAAAGCGATGGGCTTCTGCGTGCTGCTTCTCAACCTACTGGGGGGTCTATCGGCATCGTGGCATGGATAACTCTTTGCAAACTCAAAGCAGGACACCTCTTTCAAGCTTTTCAGGCCTCACGATGCACTGCTGCAACCATCCGGGGAACATCCCGGTGTAAGAACACTGCCACCTCCAGCGAACCGAAACTGGCAGTCTGACTTATATCCGATTGAAGAATCTTTAGCATTCTCTTCGCACGTTTAGGGAAAGAGCTCAGTTCGTGGATCATGTTTAGCTATTCTTGAGACATCCCTAGGCAGGCCAGCTGCCAAATGTAGGAAAAAAATCCAAGATCGAGAGAGCTATTGGGGTTCTTTCAAGTATAGGATGTTGGCGGGGACCGGGTGTTGGTGCTGCAGGGTGGTGCTACAGTGAGGGTCAAGGGTGCTTGCCAAATGTCTATGGACGTTGCAGAGTCGCTGTGGAGCTCGTATGCTGGTGTTTCTGCCAGATCACGTCTACACCCGAAACAAAGCGCTTGGGTCCTGCCCACAAGTATCTTGTGCTATCTGGGGTGTACTACGTCACGTCTCTTTTAGTTTCTTATTGGAATTGCAGATTCAACCAATACATCACGAGCCAGGTAAGCAACTCGCAAAACGGTGAAAATTATCCGGCCTTGCGGTGCTCGTCTCCTGCCTGCTCGGCAGCCACTGAAGGGGGCCGACGGCAGAATTGCACTTGGGTCATCTCACAGGTGAAGGAGGAAGTGCCTCCTGATCAGGCATCATCAACCTGGCATCGCTCCTGATGCCTTTGTTGTTGTTGCCACTGTTTTCGTAGCTGATGCCAGTTGGAACCTTAGGAGCTGGTGAGTTCTGATGGGACATCTGATACCATACCTGAACATAGAAAAAGTTGCAACATAAGTTGTATGTTGTCTATTGTCTACATAACTGACAGCTGACATCACTGACATCTTTATATATCTTGGTGGCATTCCCGTTTTCGCAGACTGAACCATCGACTTTGAGCATCCAGCAAGTCTCCTGCAAGAGCTGTGGGTCCACCGCCCAACTCAATTCATTTCGCTCCTGCCGTGTGAGAGTCCGGCGTTCTTTGCGTATTCACCGATATGTTAACATAGCAATACATAGTATAATACATTTACATCTGTAATGTGTAGCACAACGGACCTCCATCGCTAGTACGACGTCATCGATACAAGGGTGGAGGCCATCGCTATTAGGTTCGAGACCATCGTTACTAGGGTGGAGGCCATCGCAATTAGGTTGGAGGCCATCGCTATTAGGTTGGAGGCCATCGCTACATGTCGCTTCTGGGGCGGAGGGCGTCGCAATTAGGTTGGAG